TGCAATAGATTTCGTAGTAGGGGATGTAGTACAAGTTGTAGTAGGAGTTTTAGCCGGGATTGTATTAGGACTTGTAATAGGAGTTGTAGTTGAAATTATAGTGGGAATTGTAGTAGTAGTTATCGTATATGTCATGATGTTAGCTGAGCTCTTTCACACTGTGAAATTCACAGTGCTGATCTCTGGTCTATTGTTGATCACCCTATGTGGCATCATGATCTACACTTCTTCAAGTGGCAATCCGATTCGTGGATACCAGCAAATCTGGATACATAGGCACAGTATAATACACAGTGATAATATCATGAATATTTCTATTGTTAAGTCCAATATATTATCACCTGCGATCTATAGATGATAAATTCCTATTGACAATCGAAGACATTTCGTAGTGAGAGTTTTGTTAATATTCACAAATTGTGAATATTCACAAATATAGGCACAATTCGATGAAAGCTTGAAGTACAGTTATCGAATAACAGTACAATGATCGAAATACAGCAATCATGTTTCCCAGGCCAGGAACAACTCATATAGATCTGGTGAGGCAATCGATAATTCGTCCACCATTTATCGTTGCTAGTCACCGTCTAGCGTCGTGCATGCGTACTGGACATTGTGTGCACGTGAATATCGTAATCACACAAGCAGGTTGTAAGCCATACGCACCATCCGGACAGGTAGCCAGACACCACGACATAAATAGTATTTATTAAATACGATAAACTACAACATCCAACGTCCCAACAACGTCCAACATAAAATACCCCCAAAGACAATAGACGCGCCTGAATACCAGGCGCAATAGCATTACGAGAAATGGTCTAGTGGTAGAATCTCAAGTTATCTATCCCAAGATCGTGGGTTCGACTCGCACCGAGCGCAGCGAGTAGCGACAGCGCATCGCTAGATCTGTCGCGTTGTATTTCGTGATGGGTCAGCATCTATATTCCTCCGGTTTTGCCTTACTATTGATAACTCCACCTCGGTCCCGAAGACCCTTCGGGTCGAAGAGTGTAGTTGTGTAGAGTGCACAACTATGGAATCTTAGCTTCGTCCGAAACTAGTTGAATCAACAGTACCAAGTCGATCAGATCGGCTCGGCAGTGCCGAGTCGGCAGTTCTTTGACTAAACTTAACGGTCTCCGTCGCCTGACTACCTCCAGGGTTCGGCTCGGGAGTCGTCTCCACAGTGTGGACCG